CACAAAATCTCTGCGTTGGGGGCCCTCTCAGACCCTGTCCCATGTGTCTCTTCATTTGTATCCTTTTTGCTATAAAACTGAAAGCATACGTGTATCACTCTCCTGAGTTCTGTGAGTCATTCTAGTGAATTACTGAACCTGTGAGGGGGTAATGAAATAAACAAAACAAAACTCACTACTGTGGAGTTGATTCTGACTCATAGTGACCCAATGGGACAATTGACCCCCTAGTGTTTCCAAGGCTGTGAATATTTACAGAAGCAGCCTGCCTCATCTAGTTGGTTTGAACTGCCAACCTGTTGGTAGCAGCCAAATGTTTTAACCACTTTGCCACCAAAGCTCCTTGTGGGAGTAATGGGAATCCCCAGATTTACAGCCACTAGGTCAGAAGTGAGGATGTTGTATAGACCTCCAAGTGTGCAGCTGATTCTGAAATCTGTTGTATAGACCTCCAAGTATGGAGATGATTCTGAAATCTTGAACAGACTTGGTTGTCTGGAGGACTGTGCCCTTTAACCTGTAATATCTAACCTAGCTCTAGTGGCTTGGTGGCTACAGTCAGGAAAAGAAATGCTGCCTTTGCAGTTGGTGTCAAGAGGATATTTAGAGTTTAAATTTAGTTGGTGGGTGTTGGATAAGGCACCCACATACAGGGTGACACAGAGACACCCATTACACCTTAGTAAAATGAGATCTGAGAAAAATCCAAAATGGGGTCTATTGTTACCTACTAGAGAACTAACAATAGAAAAATCCTGGGTTTGATTGTATAAAATCTGATGTCTAACACTGATTGTTTCATCAGTAGTACTGATGATATTTATACAATTTATTATTTATAGCGTAATGGTATTTACACATCAACTGACTACTAAGTTCATCACTCATGTGTATCAGATTAATTTTTTTGAATTTTACTTGTATGCTTAGATTCAGTGTACTATGATATATGATTATCTGTTTAAAACTTTTAAGATTCTACACTATCTAGGTGATTTTGAACACCATTTAGAATAGAATCTAAAAAATCAGTATGAAACAGGAAAAAAAAGGAAAGTAGAAAATTAAAAAGAATAAGACGTTAAATAGAAAGAAGTAAATTATGAGGCATTAAAATAATTCAACAAAAAATATAGGAAAATAAATAGATTGTTAAAAATAATCTCAGTGTTAAAAATAAATTCGGTGGGATATTAGGTAGATACACTCCTTGAAGGGATCAATCATGGGAGAATATAAAGGGTGTGTATACACAGGGATACAGCTCAGGAGGCAGGAGTGCAGAGGAGGGAAGGACACAGGGAAGAGGTAGTAACTAAGGGGAGGAAGTGGGAAGAGAGCTGTTGCATTGTGGGAAATTGCAATCAATGTCATGAGATAAATTGTATGTGAACTGCTGTATGGAAAATGAATTTGTTCTATAAACTTTCACCCAAATCACAATAAAAATTTTAAAAAATAAATAATAAATTCAGTGGAGAAAAAATTAAATGATGTAAAACAGCTTGGTTAAAA